AGAATGTTCTCAGTTTTGTTGCATGGCTGTAAGTTGTAATTTGGAGTTACAGTCAGTAGAAGCCAGTTGCAATGAATATTAGTTGTTTTTTTTTTTTTTTGTCCAGCTTCTGTTCCCTTTCTTTCAAGTAACAGCATCCCAATTTTCTTTAAAGGACCCACTTATTCCCATCTCTCAGTCTATGAGGTTTGGGCCAGTCTCTGCTCCCACTTGCCTGATTGGGGATGGGACCCAGATCCACGTCACGTCAGTCCAAATCACCCCCATGGCCATCATGCTTGGTTCACAGGCAGACACCTGATTTAATTTAGGCCAATGAAAGAATGACTTCTAGGACTTGTTTTCTGTTCATCAAGATGTTGTGATGACAAGGCTGAGGCTGTTGGGGGCCTACATGTGGATTCTGAAAGTCAAGCCAACCCATAGGAAGCAGAGTAAAAGATGTTATAATTTGATCCCTGACTCCAGCTGCCCCAGAAGGCAGACTTATCCCTTCTTGATTCCATAAAGAGAAATTCCCTTTATGTTTATACCTGTTTGTATTACATTTTCTGTCACATGCAACCAAATGAATTCTAACATACCACAGTTCTGAAACTTCATGTACATTAAGAATCATTTAGGATGGCTTTTAAAGTGCAGATTGCTAATCTCCAAATCTAAGACACAGGTTAGGGCCCAGGGACTTGCATTTTAACAAAGAGCCTAGGTGGGTGTAAAGCAGATGTTTGCTGGAGCAACGGTTGAAAATACTGCTTAGTTAATGCAAGTGTTAACAGTGAACAACAACAATCAGAGGAGGTACAAAAAATCAACATAGAAGCTGAAAGTTAAAGAAAAGTCCATCTTTTGTCCTGGTAGGGCAAGGAAGAAAATCCATGGAGGAATCAAGGGTTGATTCCATATTCAGTGCTTTTGCAGGTATGGAATCTTTACCTTTATTTCTCTTTATTATTCCTTCCTGCTTTAGGGAGCATGATTGTATGTCTCAATTTGTCTGGGACTTCCCAGGAATCCACTTGTTATTCTGGTATAATTATAATAGCAGTTTTTTGTTTTTTTTTTTAAACTCTCATAAGTGTTCAGGCTTGGATTAAAAAATCATGGTCGGTCCATTGTTTCAGGACAGTATGTACAAAAAGGACTTCTTTATCATTCAGATCTCTTGCTGCATTTTTAAGCTTTTGCCAAGTGAAACATATTTTTTTTCTATTGTATGACCTTTACTAGCAGACAGATATTTCAAATTACTACTGCCAAGTCAAAAATTCTTAAAAATCTCAGAAAGCCAGGTAGCTTCTGAGTAGCATATGAATTTCCAGTAAAAGTAAATAAATAAAACAAAATTGTTTATAACATCTGATCATCTTTAGGGTTAACTCATTCTAAGAAAGCAGCATATAAACCCATACATCACAATAGGAATTATGTTAGAAGTGTGAACAGGATGCTGTGTGGACATAAGGGAGAGATTGTATCTCTCCATTCTGTTCATACATGGCCTAGAGGTCCAAAGGCAAGAGATTAATTCTGGAACAATTATCACTTCTGGTCAGTTAAAAAGGGATAGAGTGACAGATAAGACAAGCAGTTTTATTGGCATGGGAAGGAAGAGAGGCTAGTGCCATTTTCAAAGATTTTTAAGCACCTGGAATAGAGAGTTGCCACAGGTGTCTATTCCAACAGTTTAGGTCTTTATTCAACTAGTATATTTAAATTTTTTTTTTTTGAATTCCTTTCATTTTCTTCTTTGGTGCTGATTATAAGATTAGAGAAAAACACACACAAAAAGGCTTTCTTGTGTGTCATATGTAACAAAGAATATGTGATATTTAGTAGTAACTTTTTCCTCCCTTAAAATAGGTATATAGAATTGTCAAATATTGCAGGAGATAGAATGGTTTCATATTTATATTTTTAATGTTGGAAGAATTTAGTTCAGTGATTTCTGCCTAAGGACAGTTGTTTCAAGATAATTTGCTCACTGCTTGTTTGGTTCCACTCAAACACAGCTGTAAGTTCTTTCTCTCTATATTTGGCAATGAAGTGACTGATGGCTAACATTAACCATCTGGATGAGGGGTGTGTTGGGTGGGAGAGAGGGGAGGGGACATAGCAATGAAGAGCTTCACTGTGTGGCTGGGGAGTCATCTCTAGACTTTTCTACATCTTATATCCCTGCCCCAATCCTGACCTTTGACTCTACATGGTCAAAAGAGGCAAAGATAGCCTATATGAGTTTTCTTCAGTTTTATCAAACTTAACGCCCCCTTTGTGAGTTAATATTATGTAATATTCTCAGGACTTTTCTGAAATTAAATTCATAGGTAGTATAATCAAGCTACACACATTTAAAAAAGTAATATAATGACATAACAGTAACATAAGAACAAACTTTATGGAGATAATTTATAATAAAAATAACATGCATTTCAATATATAAGTGTTCAGCCATGACTCACAAAGAGACATAATGTAGTAGTCAAGTGCTTATATCAAAATTTAGATTTACCTTGAGTGTAACAGCTACGGATGCAGAGTGATACAGGTACATTCTACCAGTGCCTCAAATACTAGGAGTAGCTTTGCCAATGGTGGCATGATTTTTAAAAATGGGATAAACTCTTGGACATGTTTGTAAAAAAGAACAATCTTCCCTCGTATTACACGGTTACTTCATTCCTGGAAAAGTTGAGTGTGTATTAAAACCTTGCAGAACAAAAACCTTTGTGCTTTGGTGCAAAACTGAGTTCAGGGCTTAGACAATTATGAAAAGGGTTTTGACCTACATGAATGTTTGGAGGGACATTCAAAGTCATGCATGACCTGGGGCAATTCTTCAAGATATGGGACTGCACTGTCTTAGGATGTCTAGCAGCCCTCCTCTGTCCCACTAAATTGCAGCTGTGCCCTACCCCAATCATGTGACAACTAAAAGTGTTTCCCTTCCCATTTCCAAAGTGACCTTTAGCGGATGGTGTTAAGTCCATTGAAAATACTCACCTGCACAATTCACAAGCCAGCAATCATTTACATAAGACTTCATTTCCATTTTTTTTTTCTTTCAGGCTGTATTATTGGTGGGGTCACTTATTAAGTCCCAATTAATACAGGAGAATCATATTTTCAAGGTAGATTTGTGAATTCTTAACAAATGGTGGAGAGTGGATAGAATCTATGTTTATCCTTTATGTATACATTTTATTTAATTTACAAGCAATCTCACATTTTCACTGATGTTAACAACAGATACTAATTTTTTTCTCACTGGCTTATGGGTGAGCTTGGGTTCTGCCAGGGTTCAGTTAGTTAGCTCTAGGCTGAAAATCAGAAATTTGGTCCCTGGTACTGCCACTGCTGTTGGAGAAAATTTTCCTTATTTTGAACATCATCTGCAGCTTCTCATACAGTCTTCAGGGACAGAGTCTAGTAAGTGTAGCTCAGAAGAGCACTTTCGCTGGAAGGGAGACAGAGAATGGGAGCTTCTGACATTTTCATCTTATTTAGCGTGAGGTTGACTCTGCCTCCAATACTCATAAGGTGGGTGTATCAGTCAGTTTGTATTAGGTTATGCTGCATAACAAACAACTTCCAAACACTCAAAAGCTTAAAAGAATGACTATTTATTTTTCTCCTTATCCTACATATCAGTTGTAGAATAACAGTGAGTTCTGGGCTTATCACGATCTGTCTAGAATCTCGGTAATTAGAGCAGTTGCTGTCTCAAATATTGCTTATCACTGTTCTAGAGACAGAAATCTGGGTGAATTGCCTTTTAAAACTACCAGCTGGCAATGACAAAGTTCACTTCCAGTTTCATTTTACTAGCCAAAGCAAATCAAATGGTCACACATAATTCTAAGGAGGGCAGAAAGTATAATCCTCTCATGTGTTCAGAAGATCCTAGAAATATATGGAGTACTACACTAATGACAACCATGATGGTAAATTTTCCAAACATGGAAAAGGAGTTCAGATGCTGGGCAACTCCAGTACAAGACAAATGTCCACTAGAGACTGTCTTATTTATATCTTTTCTATATATCGTCATGCTCAGTCTAGCTCAGTAGCTATTAGTAACATAGTAAGTGCTGAATGAATGTCTCTGGAATAAAAGGATATGAATATAGTTGTTTAAATTACCAAATTTCACTATAATTAAAGCTTAAAGAGAGATACTTTGCTATTTTAACTCCACACTGTAAAGCATGATAAATATAAGTGTTATTTGTATGCAATGTTGCATTTAGAAAGCTTGAGATCCAGAGTGGTACACTGGAAAGAGAGAGGAAAAAGATTTTCATCTCAACATTGCTTTGCATGTGTTCACTTGTTGGTTTCCCCTACCGTGCGGACACTTTCTCCTGTGCTTAGTACAGAGTTTGGTACATGGTAGATATACAAGAAAAGTAGCTCTCTTATCCTTAGCTGGGTCGTCTTGGGGAAGTCACATCCATTTACCCATAGGTTCTTTAGCTGCACAACACACACCGCTTAGTAATATGTGCCTTTTGTACTGTAAGAATCTCATGAAATAGCAACACAATTGTGTGAATGTGGTTGTCATGTAATGTACTAACAACACAGTAACTTCCACAAAGCGTCCACTCAATAGCTGTTGGTTGACCATGGCAATAACCATTTGCTCTATTCTTATTATGAAATGGGGTGGATTTCTAAGAAAGAGTGTCGTGCATTTACAAAAGTTTGTCCAAGGTGCTGGGATTGAGCAATTTGGGGAACCCGTTTCCTATCAAATCGACAATAATAATACTCAGTGGGCTCTGTGCTCATCCCTCAAAGGTCAAACACTTCACAACCACTAACGGGCTCCTCGAGCCAGCTTTCTCTTTTGCTAATCACCGCCCCGCCCTCTAGCCATCAGCCAACTGCTGCAAAGCCCCGCCTTCCAAGGGCAACTCTCCAATCGGCTGCGCAGCCCGGGCCCAACCCCCGCCAGTCACGTGACGCGACCAGGCCCGCTTCCGGCGCGTCGCGGGCGGCTGACGTCGCTGGGCCCGGCGTCGCGTCAGGGCTGGCCGGCGGTGGCGGCGGCGGTGGAGGCGGAGGCAATGGCAGCGGACCCCGAGCGGGCTTGAGGGCTCGGACCTGCTCCCTCCCGCGCGACCTCGGGCCCGACCCGGCGCTGCGGCCCCAGCGCGCTCCCCTCCTGCTTCCTCCCCGGCCGCTGCCTGGGCGGAGGCGGAGGCGGAGGCCCGGGCTGGCCGCCCTGCTCGTGCCCCGGCTCGGCCCCGGACGGCCCGGCTGCTGTGCGGAGAGGAGGCCGAGTCGGTAAGAGGCGGCGGCGGTGGCGGGGCCTGGAGGCCGCCTGGATCCCGTCTGGCCGCCCGGGACGCCCCCGCGCTGGTGTCTCTCTCCGGCCCGCACCCCTCTCGCGTCCCTCCCCTTAACTCGCCGCCCCTATTGTCTGGGCGCAGTCGCTCCCTCTCCCCCTCCCTCCCTTCCCCCCTGCCGAGGGCCGGACGGCTGTCAAACCTGGAGGCTTCTCCCGCTCCCCGCCCGCCTGGTCTAAGCCCTTCCTGTCGGTCTCTGCCAACCCCTCCCGCCCCGCATCAGCCACCTACCTTCTTTGGCCCCGGGGCCATTCTCTGACCCTTTCTTCTTCACTTTCTTGGTGTTGTGTCTTCCTGCTAATTTTCTTTTCCCTTCCAGTTGTCATCTCTTGCAACGTTAACCATCCAGATATATTTTTGCCATTCTTGTTTGCGTTCTTTTCTGTTTATGTTCCTCCGCGTTCTCTCTGTCCCCTTTTCTCTTTTTGCTTCAAGCCCCCCCCTCCCCCCCATAGACTGTCTTACTTTGCTTTTTCCTTAATTCAAATCTCTATTCATCCTCCTTTCTCCACCCAGAGAAAAGGAAATTGTGCCTCATCCCGAAGTATCACTGGGAGTTTCTATGTCTTAACTCCACATTTATGGGTTCGATGTTTGATTATAGAAAATAGTGTAACTGGTAAACACCTCTTACTAAGTTCTTGTGAAGAAAGTAGAAAAGTTTGCTTAGATTTCTACACAGATATTTAAGTAACTGCCTAATATGTTACACGCTGACCAGACTTTTTAAAAAATATTCATGCTTTCTTTCCTTTTACACGGAGTACCCTCTGGCCTAGCGTCCTGTTAACTTTAATGAACTGATCTTTGTTCTTGACATGGCCAGAGGATAGTCCCCCCAACCCCCCATGAGTATTTAGGTTTGACTTTACATATTTCTATGGCAAGTATTGGTGTTATTTACCCCTTACTAACTAGATTCTTTCAAAGAGGAAAGGACAGTTTGTTTTTATTTTTCCTGTTATGTTTTGTCCCTTTTGAATTGTGAGCAAACCATTAAAGAAAATGCTGTAGTTGTGTATTTTCTTTTTTAACCCGGGAGAGAGCATAGTCCTGTTAGTAATTCTAAATATCAAAAAGGTTTCAGGGATCGCTCTTTTTCCCCCCAGTAACAGTAGGTTTGCATTCCTGATTACCTGTTATATTTTGATTTAGCCTGTCTTAAAGTGCATTCATATTCCTCAAGTACTAGTCCGTGAAAAAGGCTACCTCAGGTGTTCTGGGTGTCCAGTGTGGCCAAAAGGAGAGTGAAGAGTGTGCGTGTCGATGATGTAGAGAGGAATAGATACTCCTTTGTAGTTTTTTGTTTGTTTGAATATTACGACCACTTTTATTTGTCAATGTGAGCACTGACTATATTGAAATAGAGTAGAACTAAATTTGCAGTTGAAAGAATCCACATCATTATTGCATATTGACTGTGAAGTATAAGGAAGAAATTTCTGTTGCAACTTTATATGTTAAATTAAACTTATTGAATCATTTGCTACCAAAGTAGGAAATCATAGCTAATGAAAAATCCTACTCCCAAGAATTATTGATGTTGTCACTGGCAGAGGAGTGTCTCCTGCCCCTTTATATGCTCTTTAGTGTCCTATCTAGTATTGTATACTATGAGGCACTCAAATATTGGTTGAAAAACTCCATTAATTTGTACTCTTAAGAATTTCAGTAGTCATATTCCAGAACACTCAGGTGTCTTGATTTTTCAGAGACAGAAAACTGTTTTCAGCTGGTGTGGAGAATTTTCTTGGGTATTTTCAAGTTAAAATTTGAAGGATTTTAGCCATTAGCAAGTTTTAATGCCCAGCTGTTCTTCTTTTTAAGTAGTTCTTTTTTATGTCATTTTCCTTGATTCATGATCAAGATTGCTTGCAAAGTATTTAGTACTTTACATACAGATATTTGTAATCATTCAAATTTCTTTAAAATTTGGCAGTTATTTTAACTTCTCATGCAATGCTTTTAAAATTCTGTTTTATTCCCTATGCATTTTATGCATTAGAATCTAACTTTTTTTTTTTTTTTTTTTTTCCCTCTTGAGGTAGTGAAAAGAGAATACTGAAGAATAGGATCTCAAGATGAGTAAAAAGCCCCCAAATCGTCCTGGAATCACTTTTGAGATCGGTGCTCGTTTGGAGGCACTGGACTACTTACAAAAATGGTATGGAGAATATGGAGCTCTTGACCGAAATCACGATATTGGTAGTCTTACACATGTTGTCAGTTGCTGTTCTTTTGACAGTGGCAGAAACTTTAATGTATTCACATTTTGAATACACATAGACATTGTTTTTTAGTTTTCCTGCTCTTCAGCAGACTGTGTAAGCTTAGCATTTCAAAGCTGTTTTTTCAGAATCATTTTAAGGTGTTTGAGAACTGAAAATAATTATCTAGAATATGAGGTATAAAGAGAGTGTCAATACTCTTGTGTACTTAATATGAGCTAGAGTGGTGGTGGGAGGGAGTGAATTAATTTAGATAACCAGCTTCCCAAGATTTGGCTAAAACTTGATATAAATCTGTTTTCTTGGCCTGTGTCAGAGGTGATCTTTCAAAATACAGAGTATGTTGATGGTTAGCACAGTCACTATTCACTATCCCATCTAAAATAAAAAACTAGTTTACCTCTTCTTTCCCCAGGGGGTAGTGAACTAAAGGTAGGTTGTTACTGTCCCATACTAAGTGGGCAGTATTTTCAGACCTTTTTTTATTTCGTCTGTTCTGGCCATGTGTGTTAAGTAGTGAATTTAAGCTCCTAATATACGCCTAATAAATAGTATAGGGATAAAATCACCACCTGGAAAGGAGAGAAGAGGAAACAACACACAGGGGTCACTAGGCCACAGTAGGAATGACAAGGATTTCCTCTTTCTCTTAGGGATGCTTTCCTCATTCCCCTTAACTGCCCTCTAGTCCTTGTCCCTGGGAGGAAGTCTCTTATTGCCATTCTCAGCTCCCTACCTGAGATGGGCATTTGAGAGTTCCTCTCTGGGGACGGGGTTGTCTCGGCTCTCCTGAAGCGCATTTATTTTGATGAGTGATCTTGTGGCTTCAGGCTTCAGACTTCATCTACCAGGCTTTTTGACATTTTCTCTCACTACAACTCCTTTAAAAACACAGTGGGTATTTTGCAAATTTGCTCTTGATTGATTTGCATTAAGTCAACTTCCTGAGTTGGCAATGGCAGGCAGAGAAATCTTGTTTAGTCATGATATTTGACTTTAGACTGGTCTGGGGTTTTTGTCTCTTAATATGTGGCTTTAGAATTCTGCACATGTCCCCAGTACCCAGGTTAACGGGCTCTGTCTTGGGCGCTGCTCTGGGACATTTTGAAACTACAGTTTGACGTGGAAGGCAGTTGTTTGGCCCTATGCCTATAATGTGCATCTCAGAGGGTAGTTCTTTTTAGGGGACTTAATTGTTAGTCTCATCAGGTGGAGAGTGTACATAGTACTTCAGGTGGGGCTTGGGAAGCACCTGGGACCAGACAGTTGCATCCCACGTAGTCCTGACGCTAAAAATTATTTCCAGACGTGGTGGAGTGTTCACTGGGGGAGCACACATGCTCCCGATTGAGAAGCGCTGCATTAGACCATATAGTAAAAGATGCCGGTTTCGTCAGTAATTGGCTATCTTTGGTTCTCATTTGACCAAAAGAAGCTTTTCACTCAGAAGGCATGCTGTTAAATCTCCGTGTGGTATGAGAAATGATACTTCTTCTTTGATGCTAATCTTAATTAATCTTTTTTTTTAATTACTGTCTTTTGAATCACTAGTTAATTCATATTAACATACATTCTTAGGCTTCCAAACTGACAAAGTTGCAATTGAAATAGCTTCCAGTGTTGGAGGAGCACACGGTTTATTAGTTTTCTTAGAGGTTTAAAGGGAAATCAACATAATTTCGGTATTAGTAAGAAATTTGCTTTCGGTGGTGAAATGTTTTCTAATTCAACAGCTGTCAAATTGATGATCCAGTAGTTAAAATAAAAAGATTATAAAAGAGAACTACTTTAAAAATCAAGACTGAATGTGCTTTTAGAGTATTTGGAATTTGAGAAAAAAAAATGATAGTTGAAAAATGATAGTTGTAGCTGAAGTTTTTTCATTGTCTTATGCTTCACACCAAGAAAATTTCTAAGTGCTTAGGTAGGGTGGTAACAGGCATCTATACTCATTAATGAAGTTTAGCTTTCATTTTAATGACCCTAGTAGTGATGGTCTCCTTAAGGTAACATCAGCCAAAATAATCACATATGGTAATCACTGAAACTTGTCAGTAGCTTGATTTTTATGAGCTCATTGATATGAAGATTTTAACATCCTGCTACAGTTGGAATTAAGGAATTAAGAGTATTGTATATACATATTCTAGGTAGTTGAAAGAAATAATTCTTTTATTGTGACTTTATTAATGTCGGTAGTTTCAAGAACTAGCTAGTCTTGAGCACTCCCTTTCATTTAGTATTAAAGTACTTTACTGTAGGACAACTAATTACTGAGATTTATTTCATTTTGTGTGGGCACAAGAGAAGTTCTATGAGACACCGTACTCTTAACAGGTTTTACTTTTAAATAAGATAATAAACTATATTCTTCATATCATTACATTTGTTAAGGGCCATTCTGTATTTCATATAAATGCTGCAGATCTTTTCTTTAATATCAGGTAAAAGTGTAGAAGGATTATTCGAGTGTTGAGAAACTTTACTATTTTTGTGAGGAGCAAAATAGTTAATCACTGAAAATATAACTGAAATGATTCCTCTCTCTCTCCCACCCCCCCATTTTCTTCCCTATTCTCTTCTGTTGCATCCATAAAGAATGCTTAAACTTCCACATTTATTCAGTACAGTTGGAAAAGTATTGAGTTCTTATTTGACATGAATGTCTTTTGAACTGTTACAGGCAATGAGCAGGAGGGACACGCAGGAGTGCAGATAGTGCTTACTGTCTCTGCATGCAAGACATTGCCAGTAAGCCACATATCCGTTGTGAAGGAAACGACAGCATGTGTTGATAGGTTACCTTTTACAGAGAAGGGCAGAGGGAAAGTTGTGACAGTGGATAACTCAAAATGTCAACTTGTCCTATATGTAAAAGATGTTTCCTGTATAAAAAAGGAAAAGAATTTTTACTGTGTGCCCTGGAAAGAAAAGGGTAAACTCTAAATTAAGTGGGCCGAAATAAACTGAAGTTAAGCTTCCACTTTCAGATTTGGGGTAGATTTGATTTAATAGGAACATGCAATCTAATTTTCTTATGGAAAGGACATTATTACTGCTTGAGCAAATCATATGACATATTCTTCAAAGTTCAGAAAGATACTTCATCCTTGAAAATACACTGTACGTTTTTTAAAGTAGTGATTACTTTTTGTTTTCAAAATCACTTGATAGCTATGTCAGAAAACTCATTGATGGTTTGATTATTTACCGATAACTAATGAATGTGGGCCCTAAGAAGCCACTGAGATGCCAGGCATCTTCAGGTCCAATATGTGGTTTTTGGATTTCCTATACTGACTAAACCTAACTCCTGCTAAGTAGTGTTAAGTTTCTTAGTTTTTATTTTATTTTATTTTTTTGGGGGGGAGGGTTTGCTTCATTTTTAAAAATGTTGTAGTTTTACTTAAAACATACTGCTTAATTTCTTTCTCAACAGTCTTTTTTAAAAGTCTTTCAAAAGACTTTTAATAGGCTAATGTTTACAGATAACATAATCAACCATCTTTGATCTTACCTCCATCATATTTTCTATCATATCCCTGACATTCAAATGATGACATATTGCATTTATAATCTCTTGAATGCAGTGACATCGTAAGATTGAAAAAGGAAACAGATTGTTGATACAGTAGTATATTTGGAGAAAGAGAAAGTTTAGAGTTGAAGTTCTCTTGGAGATACTGTAAGTGGGTTCTAAAGACAAAAGAGGCAGGTTCAAAGTCAGACTGTCACGTGCTGGTCCTATAAATATGGGCACCCTCTGGACCTCGGTTGGCTTATCAGTAAAATGGAAGCAGTGTTACTGGCTTTTACTTAGGGGATTATTTCAAGGATCAAATAATGTATTTAAATTTGCCTCAAATTGTATAAAAAATACATAAGCATAAATTAGTGAGGTAAATGCAAGGGAAGAGGGAGAGGTGAAAAAGAAATCTTTGAGGATCTGAAGACTTAAGTGTGTTAAGTTTTTAAACATAGCTTTAGTATTGACATGAGAATGGCCTGGAATGTAGAAGGAAAATCATATCATTGCAACCTGCTATAAACCATCTTTTTGAGGTAATGATAAAATCTTTTCTTTCTGCTTTGCAAGTATTATATCTAATCACTCTGAATATTGTTCAGTGAGAAAAGTGATCAAATCAGACTGGTTTGGACTACTGATATAACTTCTGTCTTTTGAATGAAATTCAAATAGTTGCTCTATAACAAGTGACTTAGTTATGAAAACAAAACAAATCAAGTAATGTGAAATTTGAAATACAGCGTTAATTTAAAACATTCAGATGAGTTATGCTCTTCTGACCTTTTTTGGGGGAATATTTCTATTTAATTCTCTTCTAGATCTAAAGGAAAGGAAAATGAAAAAAAAAAAATGTGGAGATGTCTCCAAGTATCAGAGTTGGATAGAACAGTGTAAATTTGAATTGGCAAATGCTGTTTGGGAGTTTTTTGAACTGTATGGAGCATTTGCACATTGGGAGTTTTTTGAACTGTATGGAACATTTGCAAATGTGAGTTTTTAAAATGTTCACGACCAGAATTATAATAGTGTGGGAAATTTGAGGAAATTTAGATTGTAGCAAGTACGCATTTTTCTAATTTGAGTAAAATACACTATTTTCTGAATAAAAAGGGTTGCTTTTTTTCTAATTGAATTTAGCTACTCAAAGGCAAACATTAATAGAAATAAGTTGTGTTATCTATATTTGGAATAGAAGAGTGCTCCTGAAAAGTAGTATGTGGATCAAATTTAAAAACCAGTCTCATTTTTAAATTACATTAGGTGAGTTTGAAATTTGTAGAAACCTTAGGTGAACACTTTTAAAATAGGAAATCTTTTGCTAATACGAATAAAATTTTTGTATATTGGGTTTTCCTAACTGTATATTTGAAAAAGATTCTTATTTTGAGTCACTACCTACCTTTGAAA